CAGGGAAACCCCAGGTGCAAGCCAGCCGCAGGCACGCAGGTGTTGTGTTCCCTAGGCTTACCCCGTGGGGTAGAATCAATAAGAAGTATGCATCTAGGGGATTTTTGGCAAGAGCATCCACAGTGGCCGTCTGCGGGCTGGAATGCCCAGGATTTGGAGGCTGCTCAGCCAAGAGGATGGCAGACCCAGAGCAAGAGGTCAGGGGTTCAGTGCCACGCAAGGCCGGAGGCTCGGAAGCTCCCCTGGAGGTCGCAGATAGGCTGCAAGGAAAGGATGAAGGCACAAGAACAGTGTCCAGAGGCGATGGTCACACCTGCACTTCTTCCTTCTCTGGCTATTCCGTCCAGCTAGAACAGGTTGCCCGGCGCTAGCCAGCCCGGGTGGGCCTTCCCCTCCCTGTGGACCTACACATCCTCATCCATGGACACATCCGGAGCGGCGGTGCTTCTGCCAGTCAAATGGCTGCACCCAGATGGGTGGCCCCAGGTGGTGCTGGTGTGGGGGAGGGGCGTGGAGGGAGGTGTGGTCAGTGCTCCCCTAGATATGTCTGCCGAGAAGCCCCCACATCTGTGTCGCAGGTTACCATTCCACCAGCGGAGGCAAAGGGTGGGCTCAGGGCCAAGCCGCAAGGCGGGACCCGAGTCTGCTGGAAGACGGTGCACAGAGAGCAAGCAGAGGCCCTTCCCCCTGGATTTTTGTTCCATCAAGACCCCTGGTGGGCAGGACTTGGGCCAGGCTGTCCACTGGGGGCCATCAGCTTAGCCATCAGCCAAGACACAGAGCTGGACTCACCCCTGTATCCTTCGGCCCCAGGAGTGTGACCCTCACAGCTGCAGTGGGGTGAACAAAAGGGTCAGGAGTGTGGGAACCCAGAAAGGAGGCTGCTAGTAGGCAGGTGTAGGTGGAAGGGGCTGGTGGGGTGGAGGACCTGCCCCCTGGGGCTGGAAGCGCAGTCCGCTGAGACAATCCCTGAACCACTCCCCGAATTTGCAAGTGGGTTGATTGGACATTGGGTGGAAGAGAGAGGGACCAGAGGTATTTACTGAGGTCAGAAAAATCTCGTGCAGAGTTTGTTTAGGGAAGAAATGTGGAGTTCTATTTTAGGGCATAGAAATTGAAGCTGTCTGGGACCTGCAGCCGATGCCTAGTAGACAGTTTGGCTGTAAATGTGGCATTTGAGAGACAGGAGAACCCTGAGCGCCGAGATGGGGTCTAAACCCAGGGAGGAGATGCGTGTCAGGCGCGGCGGGGAGCAGTACTCACTGGACCCAGGCAGGAGGCCAGGACATCGTTGGAGAGGAGCCAGGTGAGGCCTGGAGGGCCCGGAAGCAAGAGGAGTGGCCACCTGAGTCAGCCTGCTGGGGACAGGTGACTGAGATGGAGTGTTGACCCTGGAGTGAGCAACGTGGAAGCCTTGGATAACCTGGACAAGAACAAGTTGCATGGAACAGCGGGAGGCTTCTGCAGGGGCGTGGAGAAACAGCCGCAAACTCGGAGATGAGACAGGATGGTCGTCGTCCTCCTCTGGGTCTTACGTCGTCTGCTTTATTAGAATCCCCGTAGTTAGCACGCCGCGCTGTTTTCGAAAGAGCCATCATTTGGACTTATTTATTAGTTTCTTCCTTTTGCTGGTTTGAACTGCGCCTCTGTCTTCTCTAGTGCTTTCCTATGTGTCCCTCAGGGTGGTCTCTGCTTCTTTTCTAATGTCTTGAGCTGGATGTTTACCTCCTGTTTTCTCATTTATTATTAAGACCAGTATTTGAGGCTATGAATTTTCCCCTGAACATTGATCGCCCAGGCTACATCCCACAGGCTTGGAAATGTTTTTATTTATAAATTCTTTTGTTGTGAGTTTTTTTTTTCTTTCATTTCTGTTATTGTCTCGATATTTTATAGTTTTTAGTTTTGGTTCTGTTTGACTTCATGGTCATTTTAAAGAGGTCTAAACATCCTGAAGTAAGAGTTTGGCTTGTTTTGTGGTTGGGTTATAAGTGGTTCCACGTTTGATCATGCTGTGATTGGGAGATGCTGGCTCGTGTCTCCCTTTGGCGCTTTAGGTCTGAGAGTCAGATTTCTGAGTGTTCCTGCACAAGGACACTTGAGTAAAGAGTAGGGTCAGTTTCTCACAGAGACACACACAGGCGTGGCATTGTCAGTGGTGGCCTGGGAAGGGTGACACGGTCCTAGCTCCCAGCAGCCCCTGCTCTGTGGGCCCTGACCTTGTCACCCGTTCCTGCGCAGCCCTTGCTGTCAGATCTTCCCGGGACCTTCGTCTCACGGTGACTTCTTTTTCTCCTTCTGTTTCTTGCCCACCTCAGCTTTCCCTACTCCCCAGACCAGCCCCAGGTTCTACTTGTTGCTGAGTTGCTCCCCACCCTTTCTTTTTAAATGGGGTAAAAGGCCCACGAGATGCAACCGGTGTGAGCTGCATGCGCATACACTAAGTGCATGTTTCTCTGCGTCACTTACCCGCCCCCCTCCGTGCACTTTGCTTGCGATCTGTCTGTCTGTTTTAGTGAGGGCGGATGGATAGTTAACATTTACTGATATGGCGGGTGCATTTGGTCTTTGTTCTGTCCTCGTAGTTTATGATACATTTCTGCTTTTATGGCTTGTGGGGGTTGTCAATTTTCGCCAGATGGCCTCTGTTTTCTTTGTTTTATTTTGTGTGTGTATATCTTCTGATAATTGGGAAAGCTGTGTTTTGGTCCCATGGTTACCTTGCTAACCACGGTGTGGCCTAACGCTGCTTCGTTTCAGCTGCGCTGCTTCTCCCTACTGGGGACGATGTCGAAATTAAGCAGTTCACGCCTGCCCTCGCATCTTCTCCTCTCCACCGAGTCACTTTATTCGGTGACGTTCTTTTCCTGTTGACTTTTGCACCTCTAATTGTTCTTCAGCTTCTGAACAATTCTTTAAAACCCCAGCTAAAATGAATAAGGCATAATTTATTTATATCACCTCCCTCCGTTACTCCTACTTATCATTATTTATATCGGACCTTGGATGTCTCCTTCACGCTTTTCCATAATAGTCCTAATCTTCAGATTTGTTTCCCACGTGGTCCTGGAGTTAAACAGATTCTGTGCCTGCTGCCAGGACTCTTGCCTGAGTTATTCCATTTATGCTTTGGCCTGCTGGGTCATAAATTTAAGAAGAGCCTATGGGAACTCTAATTCAAATATTGTTCAGCATGTTTTCCTACTGACTTTATACCTCGAAGATGCTTTATGTGAGCTTAAATTCTTGGCTCATTTATTCATTTATTCAAGAACTATTTATTGGGCTGGGGATATAGCTCAGTGGCGCAGGGCCTGCTTGGCAAGTGCAAGGTCCTGAGTTCACTTCCCAGTACCAAAAACAAAACAAAACAAACCCCCTCCCCAGGGGAAAAA